TATCACATTCCAAGCCTTCTGATCTTTTAATGTAGAAGCTGCAAAGTCCTGCATAATCTTCATGATATTTGAATCCCACGATATTTGAATTGTTTCTTTCTAGCTGCTTGCAGTATTTTCTCCTTGACCTGATAATTCTGGAATTTGGCTATAATATTCCTTGGCATTATCAAATTGGGATCTCTTTCAGGAGGTGATTGGTGGATTCTTTCAATGACTATTTTACCCTCTTGTTCTAGGACCTCAGGGCAGTTTTCCTTGATGATTTCTTTCTTTTTTCCATCACAGTAAGCTGACATTTATTGTGCTTTAAATAGCTCATATTGATTTACTACTTGAAAATTTATGAAGATTGATTTAAAGATACTACTCCTACATGATCTTATTTGATACTTTTAATCACTCTGTGAGGTTGGTGCTATTATTATCCTGTTTTACTCAAAAAACAAACCAACAAACTACTTCAACAAAACAGGTTGAGAAATATTAAGTGATTTGTTCATGGCCAAGTTTACAACACACATTTAACATTCTTGATGATTTTTGTTTTTTTAGGCAATTGGGGTTAAGTGACTTGCCCAGGATCATACAGCTAGTAAATGTCAGGTGTTTGGTCTGAGGCCAGATTTGAACTCAGGTCCTCCTGACTTCAGCTCTGGTGCTCCATCTACTGCACCACGTAGCTGCCCCCATAAATTCATAGATAATATCTTTTTTTCTCTTTTGACTAGGCAATGGGGTTAAATTGTTGCCTGCAACTAAGTGATGCACCTCACAGAGGAGTGTGAAATGAAGAAACAGTGGGCCAGGTGGGTCAGTGAAGACTGAGCCATTTATTATTCTGAGGGTCCAGTTTAAATAGCGAAAGCTAACAATCACCCCCGAGGCATTCCCAGGAGTCTTACATGACTAACCCCAGACCCTATGTGCAACTTTAATTGTACACACCTGCTTGCTATCAAGGCTCAAGGATGGGTCAAAGTGTTCTAACACTTCCCAGGCATGGGAGATTGGTGAGCCAAATATTCTGAGTAAGTGAGCCCTTAAGGGTAGGAGAAGGAAAAAGTCAAGCTCTGACCTAAATTCCTTATCTCATATTAGACTCTTCAGCTTTGGCCCTCAACATTAAATGACTTGTTCAGGGGCACACAGGTAGCAAGTGTTATGTGTCTGAGGCTGGATTTGAACTCAGGTCCTCCTGAATCCAGAGCCATTGCTCTATCCACTTTGCCACCTAGCTGTCCCTTTAAATGATTTCTCCTGGATCTATTCCCCAGGTCCGTTGATTTTCCAATGAGGTATTTTATGTTATCTTCTATTTTTTCATTTTTTAAAATTTTGTTTGATTCTTGATCTCTCATAGAGTCACTAGCTTCCACTGGCCCAATTCAATTTTTAATGAATTGTTTTCTTCACTTAGCTTTTGTAACTCCTTTTCCATTTGGCCAATTGTATTTTATAAGAAATTGTTTTCTTCCATCAATTTTTGTCCTTCCTCTTACAAGCTACTGACTCTCTTGCATACTTATCATTTCTTTCCCCAATTTTTCTTCTACTTCTCTTATTTGGCTTTTACAATTCTTCCTGAGCTCTTCCAAGAAGCTTTTTTGGGCTTGAGATCAATTCATATTCCCCTTTGTGGTTTCCCATGTAGGCATTTTGACAACGTTGTCCTCTTTGGAGTTTGTGTTTTGATCTTCCCTATTGCCATCTTAGCCTTCTATGTACAGGACTCTTTCTTGTTTCTTGCTCATTTTTAGTGTATTTCATGGCTTTTAAAGTTAAACTCCCTCTTTACCCAAGTGAGACAGATCTTTCCTGAAGTCCCTATAAGTTATCTTAAGCTTGAAAATTGTTTCACTCATTCTTTTTGTAGGTTCTGTCACTCCAGAGTCTTTTTAGAAGCTTGACTCAATATTTCCCAAAGAAACTAGGGAAAGCTCAGATAACTTCCTGGTTTTTCCTCCACCATTTTGGCTTAGTGACCCTATTAATCAGTCCTTGAACTATTTCTCTCCTCTCCATCTATTTTCTTAAGTCTCTTATTGACTCAGTTCTGAAGGAGATTCACAAACAGACAATAGGCTGATGTCTTCACAAGTGGGAGGAGAATGATATTAGGGAAGTCTGACAATATACAATGGCCAGAGAACCAGGCATTTGGTGTCAGGTCCATTTACAGTCAATAGCTGGATGTCAAAGAAGCAGGCAGAGTATGGCATTAAGATAGTAGTAATAGCAGCAAAGTATATGATAAGCATTCTCTGTGGTGACTGAAGCCTTGATACTGAACTCCAGGGCCCATTACTCAAGTCCTGCTATCTACTGTCTAGTTATACTCATCAGAAATCATGGGACTTTGAGGTCATCTAGTTTAACCCTCTTTATTTGATATATGAGGAAACTGGAGTTTAGAGAGTTTTAGTAACTTGTCTCTTTCTCAAGTTCACACAGGTGGTTAGAAACAATAATAGCCATTGTCACCTGGACTGGAACCAACCTCTGAACTGTGGTTGGTTGTAGCCAAACAAAGCAGCCTAGAGACAGGAGAGTCAGGAATCAAGCAGAAGTTTAATTTTAAAATGAGGGAAACAGCTTGCAAGTAAAGACACAGGAGCCAGCAAGAAGGGGAGGGGGGCACCAACCCCTATGTCTTGATGGGGGCCAATCAAGACAGGTACAGCATTCTAGCCTGTGCACTTCCCTAAATTCCCCCAAGGCTCAGTGGGGGCCAGTTGAGGCAGACACACATGCATGTCCTTATGCATTCCCCAAATCCCCCAAGTCCCTGACCAGTGCTCTCTAGATTTATAGAAAAGCACACAAAGAAGGCAATTTGCCAACAATAAGCTCACATTAACTCATCCCTACATCTTACTGCACAGTCACAGTAGAAACTGTTTACAAGTCATGAATCTGGGAACTAGATATTGTTTTGACCATGAATCCTGGGAATTGTTGTCTAAAAAAGAATAATAATCCACGTTATTACACTCTACCCTGCCAGGATTCTGGCTTTTACAATCTACATAGATGACACTTTTAGGGGTCCTTGAGTCAAGAAACTAGAACATAGCATTCACCATCCATAACTATATAACAACCACAATATAGAGTGTAACAATATACAACAATACAATGACATAAACATTGTGTTGGGCACCAGGTATACAAAATATAGCATATTACCAGAATGGACACAAGGCCTAAAACAGACAAGAAAGTAACTTTCCTCAAGAATTATGGCCACAAGGCTTTAAACAGAAGTAGCATTCCATATGAAACACAGTACACAGTATGTAATATAGCATTCAGTATGTAACATAGCATTCGGTATGTAACATAGCACATCCTGTGTAACATACACCCCCACCTTATATATTCTTCAGGGACCATTGTCTTTTGGGATCGAGCAGGCAGCTCTTCCTCAGGTATTGTTGAAAAGTACTGTCCAATGTACTGCTTACACATCAAGGGGACCTGCGCCAGCCTCTTTGGGGAGAGCAGTCAGCTCCTCCTCACTGGACAGGAGCTTCCCTTAACACAGCACATTCTGCTCTACAATAGGTTACAATCCTCTTACTCAGAATGGAGGGTGCAATCCTAAAAGTCCTCTTGGGGGTGTGTGCTTTCCCCTCTCAGGCTCAGCATGCTTCTGTTGTAGGCTCCCACCTGACACTCTTGCGTGCTTGCATGTTTGAGTCAGTCGAGAAGCCTGAGTCCTAGTACTGCTCCAGTCCTGCCACAAGGTCTGGGGTGCAGCTGGACAACAAAGCAAATAGTGCGGGCTCCCAGGGGCTGTGGCATTTTCTCATGCCACCATGGACATCCACCCCAGGGTCCCAACTTATCCCAGGGTCCCCACCTATCCCTGGGGGATGTGGCTGGAAAGCTCCTCCTGCTCCTGCCTTTCTCCCAAGCACAGCTCCTCCTCCTCCTCCTCCTCCTCCTCCTCCTCCTGCAGGTCTTGCCTTAGAGGGGGAGTGGCTGTTTCATTGCCAGCTCTCCCTGCTCTTGCCCAGGTCCAGGTGCAACAGGCAGGAGGGTGGGAGCGGGAGTGAGGGGTTGGAGAGGGGAGGCTACCCCTGGCTTCTGTCTCTGGCCCCCATTGCCCCAACTCTGGGGTAGCTCATCCTCCCCCAGCCTTATGACAGAGAGGCAGGGGGGAAGAGGTGGGGCTGCTCCAACCTGGGCTTTCTCTAGTGGAGCCTCCCTCACATTGCCCTGCTGGGCGAAGCTGCTGAAGCTTGAGCCTGGCTCTGACCAAGACTTCCTCAGCACTGAGAAATTCAAAAGAAACTTCTCTGGCTCCTCCTCTGTCTCTGCAGGAGCCTTAACCCTTTCTAGGACAGGGAAGTTTAAGAGGGACTTTCCCCATGTGCATTTTCCCTTAACAACAACAAATCCAGAGTCTTCCTCCAGCTCATCAGATAACTCTGCCTCTTGAGCAGAGGAAACACTAAACATCTGATCCCTAAGAATTCGAGTCTCCGTCTCTAATAATTCTAGGGCTTTCCGCCAAGCCTCCCTGTCTTCCTACTTCTGGGATAAATCAGCCTGAGCCTCTTGAAGCAGGGCTTCCACTGACAGTAGCTTGTCAGTATTTTTTCTTACAATGGTTAATTTTAACCATGCTCCAACACAAGAAACTGAATTGCCTGCTCTACTCCCCCAAACTCCGCAGTCACCTTTTTCTCCCAAGGCCACTGCTCCAGCTCGTCTCCTCAGGAGTGCTGGTAGAGTAGGGAGGTGGAAAGAAGGGTTACCTCCGAGGCCCCCTCCCCCCAACCCCTCTGGGACCAGGAAAAGTGCTCCAACTGCTGCTGCTGCATGGGCCACTGCTGCTGTGTGGGCTGCTCACTTGGTTTCTCTCAGGTTGCTGCTGTTTACTTTGCCATCACTGCCTCTGCTGCTGCTCCAGAGACTCTCTGAGCTGGTCTCGGACACTCCCACCGCTGCACACTGACCCTCCGATTATTGGCTAAGTCAATCTGGGTCTCCCACAACATTCCTACAACTTCTGCAGCTTTCCTAGCTCGCTTCTTATAAAGGGTATCCCCAATTTTCAGCAAAGCTTCTTGGGGGTAGGGGGCATGTTCTCCCACTCCTGGGGAGAGGTCCATGCTCCATCCTCCCATATCTGGGGAGGGGTCCACAGCAACACAGTTATGAAAAAAAACCAATAGGAAATATCCTGGAATGAGCATCCCAGTCCCACTAAACCATACTTTCCTTCCTTCTTTGGTGCAGGCAAATCCTGGCAACAACACTATTTGTAACACAGGAGCAACTAGAGTTTTTGGACTCCAGCCTCTAACAGGTTTATTCTTGATCTGGGCAGCCAGAAGGACAGGACGACATCTTCAGAGGGGGTAAATAAGAATTTATTCTTATTATTTTATCTCAATGGGTTCCTGATATTGGGAGTACCAACTCCTACTTTCCCCCAATCTCCAAGCCTTAGTGGGGGCCAGTTGAGGCAGACACACATGCATGTCCTTAGGCATTCCCCAAATCCCCCAAATCCCTGACCACTGCTCTCTAGATTTATAGAGAAGCACACAAAGAAGGCAATTTGCCAACAATAAGCTCACAGGTTCACATTAACTCATCCCTATATCTCACTGCACAGCCACAGTAGAAACCATTTACAAGCCATGAGCCTGGGACCTGGAAATTGTTTTGGCCATGGATCCTGGGAATTGTTATCTAAAAAGAATAACAAAATCCACCTTACACATAAATAGAAATTGTCAGAGCTAAGATTCAAACTGAAAGTGCAAAATCCCCCAAAATATAGCTTCTTTTAATCAATCTCTCTCTCTCTTCTCTCTCTCTCTCTCTCTCTCTCTCTCTCTCTCTCTCTTTCTCTCTCTCCCCTTCTTCTTCCTTTTCCTCCTGCTCCTCTTTTTCCTTCCTCTCTTCCTTCTCTCCCTCTTTCTGACCTTCCCCTTCCTCTTCTCTGCTTCTCCCCATGCTCCTCCCCTTCTTAACCTCCTCTTCTCCCCCTCCTCCCCCTCTCTTCCATCCATCTCTTCCTCCCCTTCCCTTCTTCCTTTTCTCCTTCTCCTCCTCCCCTTCCCCTCACATTTTCCTCCCTCTCTTCATCCTTCTCTTCTCCTCTTTTCCTTCTTCTCCTCCTTCCTCTCTGAGTGAAATAGATGAAGTTTCCTCAGTACTAAAACTCAAAAATTCCCTTTGTACCCCCAAAGCAGTAAAACTTGATGAATTTGCAAACATTTGCTGCTCATTAAGCAAGAGCTGACCTGTGTTACAATTCCTCTAGCAAGTTAAACATTGAGAAAGACTGCTAGCTTAACAGCCAGGGGCTGCCTGCTCATCTGTCTCTAGGCAGAACTTCTAAATGGTTATCAAAAGTCTTCCTGATCTTTTGTCTCTAGGCAAATATTTCTAAATAAGGATATTATTGTACTAAGGGTCTTAGCAAGCTGCGTTTAGATTGTGCGCCCTGAAACCCAGGCAATGGGAAGAAGGGTTCAGGAATGGGGAGGGAGTATTGCATTAGGACTATAAAACTTTGTCCTCCACTAACAGACTTTGTACTCCCTGGCTGCTGCTGCTTGAGCAATGAGGGCTGTGCCCTTTCTCATGAGAAAGAATAAAACCTTTTCTGATCTCTGACTCAGTCGCCGAACTTTTAATTCTAGTGTGGCTGTTGTCCCACACACCTCCTCCCTTTATTTCCCTCCTTCTCTTTCTCCTTTCATCCTGTTCTCTCTTCTCCTCCTTCCCCTCCTTCCTCTCTTCACCTCTCCCCTTCCCCTTTCTACCCCTTCTTCTCCCTCTCCCAATCGTCCTCTCTCTCCTCTTTTTTCTCCTCCTCCCCTCCCCTTCCCATTCTTCTTCCTTCCCCTCTTTCTCCCTTCCCCTTCCTTCTCCTCTGCCCCTCCTCCACTCCTGTTTCCTTGCCAGTCCTCCTCCTTTCCCCTTTTCCCTTCCTCTCCCTCCCTGTCCTCCTCTTCCTTCTCCTCCTTCTTCCCTCCTCTTCTACTTCTACCTCTTCTCCTTTAACTTCTCCCTTTCCCCCTCTCCCTTCTCCTCCCTCTTCTCTTTCTCTAGTTCTTTATACTCCTCTTTGGAACAGATCAGGTGGAACTCAGGCAGCCTCTCTCTCAGATTTTCTTCAAAGGAAAAATATAAATAACAATCAACAAGGGGCAGCTAGGTGGCACAGTGGATAGAGCACTGGCCCTGAAGTCAGGAGGACCTGAGTTCAAATCTGGCCTCAGACCAAACACTTGACACACTTACTAGCTGGTCGACCCTGGGCAAGTCACTTAACCCCAATTGCCTAAAACAAAACAAACAAACAAAATAACAATTAACAGAGATGATAAATTCTAATGAAAAATTTTTAAGGATGGATAAGATTTGGGAGTATTTCTAGGTAATAGGAAAATGAATCAGCAGATAGGGAGAGATGAAATTTTAATTTTTTTCTCATTTAATTTTAAAAAAATTAGTAGAAGCCTATTTTCTCTCCTTCCCATTCTATACTCCATTGGGTAAAGATATAAACAATTCCTGTAACAAGTATGCATAGTAAATCAAAATAAATTCTCTCAATGGCTGAGTTAAAAAAAATATGTCTCATGCTGCACCCTACATTTATCACTCTTCTATTAGGAGGTACATAGTATGTTTCATCATTGGTCCTCTGAAATCCTGTATGATCATTGCATTGACGATAGTTCTTACAGCATTCAAAGTTCTTTGTCTTTATAATGTTGTTATTGTATTAGTCTATTGCTTTTGCTCATTTCATTTTTCATCAGTTTATTAAAAATAACTTCAAAATTATTCATTTTTTACAATGTTGATGTCATAGTATAACTTGTTCTCCCTATTATTCTCATGGTCAATTTTTATGATGTAATCAGGGATAAGCTTTGAAGTGTGAGATTGTACCCTGTTTCTTACCAGGACCTAGAATCAGGGAAGACCTGGCTGAGATGAGGCACACAAGGTTAAGTGACTTGCCCAGAGTCTCATAGCTAGTAAGTGTCTGAGACCAGATTTAAGCTCAGATTTAAGACTTATTTTCCTGAATCCAGGACTGGCGCTCTATCCATTACACCACCTAGGTTCTCTATTACAATATTTAACAACTTTCATTAGTATTAATTGGTGATCTTACTCGTGTGTGTGTGTGTGTGTGTGTGTGTGTGTGTGTGTGTGTGTGTGTAAAGAGATACAAGATAATTTAAAAGCCATATAACTAAACACATCACTTGTTCTCTTGGAGTATATATTCTAAATGAGAAAAAAAACCATACATATATATGACATATGTGATGACACCCATTTCACTGCAGTCTCCATGCTATGTAATGCTAACAGAGAGAATACACTGACGTTAAGTGTGCATTCTTTGTCCTAACACTATTCTATCCACTAGAGTTCTGCTCTGATGACTCATCAGAGTAAATAATAGTCAGTGAATATTTATTAAGCACCTACTATGTGTTAAACACTGTATTAAGTGCTAGGTAGACAAATAAAGGAAAGAAAGAAAGAAAGAAAGAAAGAAAGAAAGAAAGAAAGAAAGAAAGAAGGGAGGAAGGAAGGAAGGGAGGAAGGAAGGAAGGAAGGAAGGAAGGAAGGAAGGAAGGAAGGAAGGAAGGAAGGAAGAAAGGAAGGAAGGAAGGAAGGAACAGTGTCTGTCCTCAAGGAACTTGCAATCTAATGAGGGAAGAGAGAACACAAAAGAAAACTGAAAAGTCAGGATAGAGAAAGGTATCTAATGTGAGGGCATAGCGGGCAAGTTAGAGAATTCCCAAAGTTGTGCAGCCAAGTGAGAAATGAATTGATCCTTGGTTTTCTAAGGTTATACTAGTGGGCACAAATTCTTGCATATCCTGCCAAGAAAGAAAGGTTTTGAGTGCAAGTCCAGCAGTGTGTGTGTGTGTGTGTGTGTGTGTGTGTGTGTGTGTGTATGTGTATGTGTGTGTAGTCATCTGAGGATAAATCTAGATAAGTTCAGAAAGATTCATCACCAGGAAGTTAACCAGTGAGTAATGACTTTTCCTGAGTCCCCATGAGGATGAAATCTTGGATGTTTGGAGTTTTTGAAATCATATTCACACCAAGTTGAAAATAGTGGCTATGAGTGTACCTATGTGAGAACATTGTGAAATTATCATCTCCATTCACTTAAAGTTATAAAATGAAGTATTCCATCAATTTGTATAGATCTGTATGACACCAAGTAACAGTCATGACCACTTTACCCTCTAATTCAATTTAACAAACATTCATTATGTACCTGCTAATGAAATATATGGTAGTGGATTCTAGGTAGACACAAAGTTTAGCAAAAAAGTGGTCCTTGCCATATTGGAGCTTATTGTGATTGAGAATTTTAATGAATTAAGCCTACAAATGTCTTATAAATCATGCCATGGTGAAGAGAGGGACAATTATAGAGCAATGGTCTAACTTATTCGTCAAGGAATTCCTGAAGTCTTTAAATTACGAATGAGTTGCTGATGTGCATTGGTGGAGGTGGTTTCAATGCCAGGAATAGTTTTTATAACTAATGAAATCACAGGCCTATACTTTCCTCCCTGCTCTAGTTTGTTGCATGAAGAAATAAACCAGCAACTGCAGTTCACACTGTGCTGCAGATATTGAAAGTTTCAATTTCCAAATAATCTACCATCTAGATGACTAGTCAAATCTCAGTCTTTAGTTCTGTGCCCATCAGGGCACACCAAAGGCAAATCTCCACGGACTCTGCCAGCCAGGATAGGTATCCTATCTATGACTATATATAAATCCTAGGGATTTGCTTGAAGCAAATAGAAATTAAATGAGCTTGTCTAGGGGTACAAAACCAGTTAAGTCTCAGAGATGGGATGTGAACTTAGGTTTTCCTGACTCTGAGCCTCAAAACTCTATTAACTGGAGCTTCCATTCATTAATCTTAGATAATAGAGTACTACTCCATAATGCCATTTGAAGTGTAAGAAACATGTTAAATCAATGTACCAACACATTCCCTTTTCAATTAAAAAATGCATAAATAAAGATGACATTGGGCAAAAAAGCCTAGTGAACATACAGATAACTCTTCTTTCTCTGAGATTAATTCCCTATTTACTCTCTCACAGAAGCTTATAGGGTTTCTTTTAGTTAAACAAGACTACATACTACAAGTCTCTTGTAAAACCTATTCTATTGCCATGGACATCAATTAGGTAAATGTAATAGTGACAATTCAATGACATAGTAAAGATTAACGATCCCTTGATTTCAAAGACAAGACATTTTAAAGTCTCATTGATTAGATCACTGTAAGTGTTCCAGGAAACAATGTAAAGAGCATTCTTGCTAATGAATTATTCTGCCA